CACCCCACATCCCCAAGCTGGGGGGGCCGGGATGGGGCTGACCCACCTGGAGCTGCTCCCAGGGCGTGGGGCTCCCCCCTCGGATCCAGCCTTCAAAGGATTCCACCTGGATGGGAGAGAAAGGGTTAAGACCCCCCCCGCCACCACCGAAGCCCCCCACCAACCACTACAGCCTCCCCCCAACCCCCAGGGCTTGCCTGTGCCTGCAGCTTGTGGGTCTGTCCCACCAGTGTCCGTGTCAGCTGGGTCCCCGGGCAGCAGCACTGCCCCAGACATGTGGGGCAGCCCCCCACAGGAGGAGGGGAGGGAGGAGGCCGGGGTGATCCCCCCTGATCTGGAGGAGGGGGGGAAGGAGGCCAGCGTGATCCCCCCTGCTCTGGTGGTCCCAGTGCTGGAGCTGCAAGAATCATTGGTTCACAGAATGGGTTGGAAGGGACCTTAAAGATGATCAAATTCCACCCCCTGCCCTGGGCAGGGACACCTCCCACCAGCCCAGGTTGCTCCAAGCCCCCTCCAACCTGGGGGGAGGGGGGGAAGGAAGACGGGGTGATCCCCCCTGCTCTGGAGGAGGGGGGGAAAGAGGCCGGCGTGATCCCCCCTGCTCTGGTGGTCCCGGTGCTGGAGCTGCAAGAATCATTGATTCACAGAATGGGTTGGGTTGGAAGGGACCTTCAAGATGATCAAGTGCCACCCCCTGCCCTGGGCAGGGGCACCTCCCACCAGACCAGGTTGCTCCAAGCCCCCTCCAACCTGCCCTTGAACCCCTCCAGGGATGGGGCAGCCACAGCTTCTCTGGGCAACCTGGGCCAAGATCTCAGCACCCTCACACCAAAGAAGTTCTTCCCCACAGCTCAGCTCCATCTCCCCTCTTTTAGTTTAAAACCCTTCTCCTGCATCCCATCGCTCCCCTCCCTGATCCAGAGTCCCTCCCCATCTCTCCTGGAGCCCCTTGAGGGACTGGAAGGGGCTCTAAGAGCCTTCTCTTCTCCAGGTTGAACCCCCCAACTCTCTCAGCCTCCCCTCCCAGCAGAGGGGCTCCAGCCCTCCCAGCATCTCTGTGGCCTCCTCTGCCCCCAT